ACGAAAGAGGGTGTGTGAGGGCCTGGCACTAGGGAAATGGAAGCGAGGAAAAAGAGTACTTTGATTAATGGTCGCACATCGCGGTTCTCACCCTTTTCAAGTGGCGAGTTAAACTGAAAGAAAATTCTTTGAAAGAAAAATTTCTTGACAGACAGCCCCATAGAACAATAAAGGCAAAATTCCCCCACTAATTATGTGATGTCAGACACGAGCCATAGCCTGGGGTTGTTTTAAGAACGTCGTTATGTTTCTCGGAAGTTTTGCAGTTTAGGCTAAATGAAAAATTAAGTATGTATCTAAACACCGCTGAAGCTTACGCTGTTGGCCTTATCTGGAGTTAAATCCAAGATAAATGGCTCAGCTCTCACTCCCATGGAATGGGGAGTAAATATCGAAAAGAGACCAGTTTTACGGGGGCGAACTGTGAACTCGAATTGCAAACCGTGACTAAAAGAAAGAAAGAAAAAGGAAAGAGAAAAAGTTTAAGGAGATGCGTTTCATATGGGTCACTGGCGCTTCAGCTTATGGTTCCCATTCTTATTTCCAGATCTAGGGAAATATAACCACGTTCCGAACAAAATGACTTCCCTTCGCAGCATCTCTCTGCGCATAAATTTATCAAGCTTGACGGGCGAAGACGTATTTGGAGACGTGATCACCAGACATCTTTTCAAGATAGAGAGGCATTATAACGTGTTATGCAACCAGTAAAATTAGCGTTTTGATGCATTACTATGCGTCGACCCGCGGCATGCAGGAGGACCCCTTAGCAAACAAAAAATTAAGCAAAAAAGGCATACAGATAACTCTAAAACCTATCGTTTTAAAAATTGCGACTTAGAAGGCGCGACCCGCAACCATTAGTCGAACTCTCACAGAGTCCTTTTTCTTGCTAATGACAAAATAGAAAAAAAAAAACACAGGAATACTTGGTAAAAGATAATTCCGACGCACCAGTGCGCACTAGTTTCCCACGATGTCAGATGAGACACAAAGCAACTGTTCATTATAGGAAAAGTGTAAAACAATTACTTTAATCGATTGTTTTTCCATATATCTACAACGTTTTCCGCGTCTTCCGCCGAAAATTGAACTGACAAGTAAACTAGTGGTTCATATACTTATACACAATTCAAGCATTACAACAATCAAAAAACAAACTTCCGATCTTTTTAAAAATTAAGTTATGAAGTCTAAACTTAGTATAGTGAGGAGTGATGCTCTCACAGGAAACCAATTTTCTCCCTCCTCGATACTACAATCAACGCGTGAAGGTTTTAGACGCTCTCGAACTTTCAAGTAAATTTCAAGTAAATTCAAGTAAATTCAAGTGTACCTTGGTTTCTTTTGAATTAATTAAGTATTTGCTTAAACAACTTGCCTCTAGGTTTGACAACCCTTATCAAAAATCATCAATATTTCCGTCAAATCGTTGACGGTTTTCAACGACACAAGAAAACAGCTACCCCTATCTCCTCAACTCCTTACGCACAACTTACACGATATTTACACTACTACAAAAAATTACCTTACTACGTAGACCTTTCAAAGGAACAAATTGTCCACAAATATTTCAGGCAGAGCTATGTGCCTTTATTATATTACTTTGATATCATTCACTGAACAAAACGTGCTTATATTGAGGGACCAATGCATTGTAACTTCGAGCCATTTTCAGTCAGAAACCAGTTGATATTTTCCCCTTCACTAAACCATAACTTCAACGTTCTCTTCCTGCACCGATTCAGCGTGTTTTTCGGGTTCTCGTTTATCTTCTGTCCTATTTTTTCTTACATGGCGGTAACAACATATTCCGGCAATAATGAATAACGAAGTAGAAGCGCATACCACAGGTAAGATAATCAGCATCACTGGAACTGTGAAAAAAAAAAAAAAAAAAAAAAAAAAGAGAAGATATAAATACTTCTAACCACTGACCACTGACTACAAGTAAAGGAACCATGAATAGTGAGTAGCGAGTAACGAGTAGTGAGTGGTGAGTAGTCACTACTAGCTACTGACTACTACTGCTACTACTAGTACTACCACTACCACTACTACTAATAATGATGATAATGGTAATAACGAAAAAATGAGTCAATGAAACTACAGCGCCAGACAGCTTCCAAATTAGTGAGCACGCGTTAGGTGAAAACAGTTAATCAGCAGTTTTGTCAACAACAAAGTCACAGACAGTCATAGTTTTCTACGAGCTTCGCTCGGAAAACTGTTCGTATCTAGGAGCAGATAATGAATGGACAATTGTCCGTGTATATTTTTGCGCCACGTGGAGGCTATATATATATATATATCTCATTTCAGGGCTCCTTTACCTTACGATTCTGTGAGCTGTATACGGTTCTTAATTAGCTAACCTGTTGATGTGGATTCATTTGTAGGTTCATTTGTTGTGCTCCCTGTACTCGTTGATTTGGTAGGAATGACGCGTGGTGGTAGGTCGTCCTTTTCGCGTCCGTGTTTGAGGGGAGCTGATGACGTTCCATACAAGATCAAGGACCAATGATGAAGTTTACCTTAAGAGCGAATTTAAAAACATGACAACATTGCTATAAGAACAAAAACTCCGCCACTACGAATATATTAACTTAATATATAAATAAAATAGGTTGAATTGTTACATCTGTGAGCACGTGAAAGGCTTTGTTATCAAATTGATATTGGTAAAGTTTAAACGGCTTCCAAATCTAACGCGGAGAGATGGGCGGCGATCGGATCTCTTATTCTTCGCACAATCAGTACGAAACAACTGCCAATAAAGTAAAGAAACGCTCACCCTTCCAGCTTTCCGAAGACAAAAAAAATGTGCTCACGGTAAAAATACCTCGTTTAGACCTGGCCGGGGACATTGTGTTGTGTTCTTAGGCAAGACATTTTACTCTTCACTCTCACTTTGCCTCTCTTCACCCAGGTGTTTAAATGGGTACCGGCAAATTTAATGCTGGGGGAAGGGGGGTAACCTTGCGATGGACTAGCATCCCATCCAGGGGGGAGTAGAAATACTCCTAGTCGCTTCATGCAACAGAAACCGGAGTTAAGCACTGGCCCGATGTGCCACTTGGCTCGTAAACAGACTTTACCTACTTTACCTTTAGACCTAATTTCCAACTAGCAATTAAACAACGCGGATAATGTAAAACCGTTGTACAAAGTTTAAACGTACTCCAAAAGATTTAGAAAGACAAAAACATACACAAATCAAGCATGGATATGCTGTTTATGTTTTAGTGAAAAAAACGTTATATAAAAGAATGAAGTGATTTTTTTTTTAAATAGCTCGCTTGAATGAACCTGGAATCAACTTTAAAAATGTGTTAGGAAAAATAATGTTGCGTGACATGCATGACTTTCTGGAAGATTAGCGAAAGGTCATGGCTTGTTTATTTGAGTAAATTATGTAAACGATTCTAAAATTGGTATATTTTGTAATGTTGCTATAATTAGACCTTTTTTAGAAAGTTCTAGAATTTTATCGCGTAAGTATATAAGTAGGATAGGTTAGGCGAGGTTTTAACTAAGTTTTCACAAGCGAAGAGAGTTAGTCGTGATCAGCCGTGATCTGTCAAGCGTGACGAGGTAGTGTTTGTTGAATTTGGCGGAGGCCGTGGGTATTTACAAGTTTATCGAAGTTGGCGGAGGCCGTGTGTATTTTTCAAGTCTACTGAAGTTGGCGGTGGCCGTGTGTATTTTCAAGTTGATCAAAGTTGGCGGAGGCCGTGTAAGTTTACTGAGTTACGTGCTAGTGTAAAGCTTATCAAGTGAAAACTACGTTCATTTTGGAATAAATCTTCTTGTTGCTGTTCCGCCAACCCTGCGTTCTGTTTAGATTACAAATCACCTTCCACTCAAACATCGAACTCGTAACAATATGTCTGATAGCTGCATGGGCACGGTCACCAGGTATTCTGTGAAGGTATTTCGACTTTCCATTAGGGGCCGACCATTTAACTCTTGAGGGGGTGGGTGATTTGAAAAAAATTTCCTGAAAGCGCTTGTTGGAAGAAAAAAACTGCATGCAGCCCAAATGTAACAGAAAAAAAAAGAGCATTTAGAACGGAAAAAATATCCTGCACAGCAGATTGCTAGAAGAAAAATTTCTTGATGACCAGAAATCACCCCCCCTCAAAAGTTAAATAGTCGGCCCCATATCATGGCATATACAGTAGCGAGTTATATTTGTGGGGTACCAAAACTTCTACAACATCTGAGGACAAGATAAAAGTAATCATTCTGAGAAATCATACTACTCTTCCAGCGTGTTGTCTTTAAAAGTGTTTTCTTCCCTATTTTCATCGCTACAACATCAGTTCAAATTGATGTCGCACGTGATGTGTGCCCAAGTCTACAATCTTAACTAATCCCTGTGTTGTACAAACACAATATATACCTTTGATTCTGACGAATCCCGCCCAGAAAAGTACTACGTGTATCCAAAAATTTAAAAACACACACAAAAACAGCCACAGGAAAAAATTACAACATTAACTAACAACATCTAGTGAGAATTATAAATTGAACCTGCACTTGGGTGTTCTGGGGAAGCATCACTAATCTTGAGCTCCCATTTCCCTGAAGGATTCTCTCCCCAGTGAAATAGAGTTGTGATATGCCAGTCTGTCAAGTTCGTAAATTCCTGATAGTTGTCTGCCATACGGTATCCCGTCAATGGACAAATTGTTTCACTCGGTGACTTCAAATGTAGTATCAAGTCTCCACGCCGAGAGAAATCAAGATTTACTCTGACTTGCACGTGCTCTAAGAACTTTATCTCGCAATTTTTGACTTCTACTGAAATTGTACCTGGGATTTGCCTGGAAAAGAAAATTTGATAGTGACTAGGTCAATCGTTATAAAGGGCTCTTCCTCTTCAGTTATACATTCAAAATGGCCGCCAGATTAATACTTGGGAACAATAATTTACCTTATTCAGAATAGCCGCCATATAAGAAAAACGTATATAATTCCATTCACAAAATAATATGAGACACTCTGGCTGTGCATGAAACAGTATTCAACTTTAAATTTTGATTGGACACGCTGAATCAGCAAATGGCTGTTTCTATCCACTGACGTATGTAGGTAATGCCGACGTGTAAGGAAAACCAAAAGGAGTGTAATATTGAAACTTACTTTTCACTCCCTTCGATTTCACATTTCCGCTGCCCAGGAACTTGAGTCCAGTTCTTTGCCAGGTTCACCATCCTGCTAGCGTCCATGAGTCCAAAGCCATAAAATTTACTGAAGTAAAATCCTGCTTTGTTTTGCCGCCACTTTCCATCTTTAAGCAAGACACCACCAGGTGCTGCTCTAGCACTGTTAGCTATGATGTGTTGAACGTCACGCCATGTTAAATTAGGACTGAAAAAGATGATAATAACACGAACTAAATCATAAATTTTTTCCAACCGTTGATGCATTCAGCATCAGTGTGTCGATTGATAACAATGTATATACATCGGAACTCAGATTTTGTCCCTGTCCATTTAGGAAAATCCTTTCAAATTATATACGGCTAGAAGAAGCTCTCTCACACTGACAGCTTCCACTAGTATCATTATTAAATAAATCGTAATACTGTTGCAAGCACAGTGGTTATACATGCACAATCTCCGATGCGTGCGCAGGATTTTCCATTGGGGCGGGGCTTACACGAGTATTTTACTAGCATCACACATTTTCACTTTTTCGCGATATAAAGGGGTTACAAGTCCCCAATAGAGATGACTCAATCATATTCCCTTTTTCCCTTTGCCAAACCCTCAATAGCGGCGAAAGGAAAAAAGGATAAATTAGTTTTTGATCGGGAAACTCACTCCCCAGTTGAAGCTGATGACGTAACAATCTTACTTTGCTTGCAGGGTTAGTGCAATCAATCCTGATGCCATTGCGGTAGCCGCTGACGACTCCGAGAAATTATGAACACATCCTTCTTGGTTATCAACAGTTGTCTAAATGATACATTAAACAGAATCAGACAAACAACGAAAACAGTCACTAGCCACTGCTTACATTAATTCCTCTAAAGAAACTGTAAGGAAAAATCAGACCTGTCTCAGGTGAACTTACACTTGTTTAAACACTTTAACATGAGGTTAGATGGGATAACGTGTCTAACGATATGAGACGTATCCTAAATCAACAATACGAAAGGAATGTTCAGCTTCAAACGGAAAAGCAATTTCAAAAACACTGCAGAGGACAACTGGGAATTGATACAAAACGCAAGAGGACAGTTTATGCCCCGCTCTTCAAATCATTTGCTTCTGCAAGGTCTCATTTCCCTTAGTAATGGGGTTTTTCATCACGGTTTGACTCCCATACGTTTTGTTGCACTCCACTTACAACCGTTCCGACGTTTTTATATGAATCCATACTATAAGCGGCGGCCATTATTCCGGGGCAGTCCTCAGCGTAGCTAGGAAGAGATCCATCACGATTCACACCGGTGATAGCAATGGTGTAAATACTATTTACGTAACCATTGTATGCACAACTGTCTCCCCCAAGGCCACCATTGCCTGCCGCAAACGTGTAGATAGCACCCAGGCCACCACGACCCTAGATTTAAACAAAGTCAAAGGCATAAAACATTTGCAGAACCTCCAGAAAGTGCGGCAACTGGTCACAAATCCACGTGAATGTAGTCTTGATGTGATAAATTGTACACTATATATTACTTTGCATCTATCTATTCAGACTATGAAAACCAATCATACAGAAGAATGAAACAATAGCCTCGGGAATTTTCAAATCAAAATTCAGCGGATGCACTGTTAAGCCAAAAAACTCTTACAAAAGAGACAGCGGTAAAGCGCGCACTCTGATTGGTCAATTCAGTGCCCACTATTTGCCCATGGGTGTACTCTACTGACGTGAACAAAAGTAAAAATTTTCCACGCGCTTGTTTTTCTGGTCACGTAAGATTTCATTGTTAAATAAAAGGGAACTCTATTGCTACAATGTATCAATTTTATGTTGTAAAACAAATGTTAAACACCACAGCGTACACTATTGAGTTATTACGGTGGCCAATAAGTGTCACGGCAAAACTTCCGTGATTCACGGTAAGACAACGCCAATTTTTCATGGCAGAAGTGAAATGCCACGGCGGATGTAGCCTGATGACTATTCTCTTACAGGCCATAATATGTTTTTGTGAACTATGGCGGAAGATGAGTACTTGGAGTTGACAGCAGACGACGAAGAAGACCTCATCCGCTATTATTTCTTCAAGGGCTTCGAGTACGAAGAGATTCGTTTGTTTTTACCGAAAAACCACGACATCCATATGAGCCTAAGTACCTGAAAACCGCGAATGGTTTGAAAAGAAACCGACCGGATTACAACATCAATATTATGGTCTTTATGTCACCGTACTTCCGCCGTGAAAAATTGGCGTTAACTTGCTGTGAATTGCGGGAGTTTTGCCGTGAGTTGCGGGAGTTTCGCAGTGAATTGTGGGAGTATTGCCGTGACACTTATGGGCCACCGTAATAACTCAATAGTGTACGCTGTGGCGTTTACCATTTGTTTTATAACATAACATTAGTACATTGTAGCAAACGAGTTCCCTTTTATTTAACACCGTCATTAAAAGGATTCCTTTCAATGACGGGTATAAAGCCAACACCAGGTTTCAATGCTAGAGAAAAGTTCCAAATTTAAAGTATTCCATGGCTAAAGGACTGAACGTAATTCGATAGGAGCGGCGACAATGGACAGAACACGAGGTAAGGCTGACAAAATGATGAGAGACCTGGTGTTCTCTGTTAGTACACAATACCTTTGAAGTACCAAGTTCTAAAGCTTTACTGGCCAGCGGTCCAGGACCTTCTACTTCCCAGCCTATGTCCCCCGGCCCCCAGCTGTTGGAATATATGTCAATGTAGTCTAGTTTATGTATCAAAGACGAGAATTCCCATGCGTCAGTCGACCAAATGTGATCATCAAAGAGGCGAACACCTGAGACAAAAAAGGCAAGATTACCTAAATTCTTCACAATGACTTAGAGCGTCAAATTTTAATGTTCAATTGTTTGATCTGAATTGGATTAAAATAGTTGCTAATCGAATTATCACTCCACTGTACCTTTTACTGAACAGTCACATACCAAAGGAGGATGTGCTGAAAATACAGTGATAGCTAGTGATAGACAATGTAAATAGTTTCCAGTCCCCAGGAATATAAGGGTAAAGTAATGGCATTGATTGGCTCTACTTTTGTTGGAATATATCATCAAAGTATAATGATTTTAATATATCCTACTCAGCTCTTAAACTTTTTTCTTTCTATTTTTTCCTTTACAAATTTCTATTAAAAAAATGGATTTAAAAAGGGATTTAAAAAATGGAGTCTTTCTTTCACCTGCAATGTTAGCTTCATAGGCCAATCCTATTCCACATAAATCGTTATGTCGTTTTCCAGCTATGACACCTGCACATTTGTTGCCGTGGCTAAAAGTAAATTGTATTATGTTTATATTAATCTCACGTTCTCACAACACGTTTGGTTTGTGATGTCCACTTAGACTATAGCAGATCACTTAACCCTTGACCTAGACAGTTCTTTCTATGGTGCAAAACCCAAATCCAACAGTAAAGCCACCATAAATCATCTGAAATTTTCCTTTTTTCTGACAGGTCTGAGTTACATGTAACTGATCTTAACAGGTGTTTGACCTGAAACACATTTTACACTGCAATGCTGATTCAAATACAGTCCAGATAAAGGCTTTCACCCCACAGACTTCAGTGTCTAACACGATAACATCCTCACCCTCCTTGTCTATTATCCAACAGCAGCTATTGGATTGTATTTTAAACAATTACTGGATGAGGTTTTAGTGATATATATCCGGAATAATCAAGGTTGAGGTAAGCGTTATCAGCTGAAGCCAAAGGCTTAGGCTGACAACACTAACTGAGACCTTGATTATTCCGGATATATATCACAAAAACCAAATCCAATAATTGTTTTGATCAGTAGCACAATCATCACTCCCAATCCTGTAACATGCCTTAAAAATAGCAAAATTGATACTTTTGACCCAAATCACTCTTTTAGCTTCATTTTACCCAGAATATGACAAGTCTTGCTGTTTTTTTGAAAAATATTTCATTTTTCGCATGTTTTGTAAGAGTTTTGATTTTACCCAGAATTCTTTGCGGGCGTGGTATTTTCAAGGTTATCAGCTCACCAATACAAGAAAACCATATAAATAAAACAATGTTTAACCTTTTAATAGACATTTCATATTACATGGAGGCCAGTATCTCCTCATTGAGAATCACAGGTACTCTATACACTGACTTTCTTCCTCTCTTTACAGTGCGAAGGTCAGAACAAATGTGCCTCACAGTCGCTGCATGAACAATGGCAACTTTACTTTCGTCAAGTTTATATGTCATGTCGATTAGGTTGTCTCTTAGGAAAAAGTTTCCTTTAAGAACTTCCTGCCCTGTGTTGTAAATGCTGCCATAAGCATCTGTCACATCTGCTGCTAGCTCCTCAACTCCGTCACTGTTGACTTTCAAAAGATAATAGTCATAGCTGGAGTCGGCATCTGCTGCAACTGCAACCACACTGCCTGCTACGGCTAAGTCAGCTATTCTGACAGCTGTTTCTGTTGTCACTGCCACAGTGTCTTCCTGTGCATTCCTAGTAATTGCTGGTGATGCTTCTCTTTCAATCTTCAGCTCTTTCCAGTCATCAACCCACTCAGAGTTAGCACAAGAGTCACCAGTTTCTAGCAGGCAGTCAAGACAATAGCAGGACCGTTCACGTGTGTACACCTTTCCTTGTTCTGTGGTGCACTTAACTGCATGGATCTTTCTGATTCCCTTGATCTCTCTAAATTTGCGCTCTGGTCTGTTTCTGTTGACTGATCCCTCGCCAGATGCTGGCACATAGAAGAAGAGGCGCTGTTTTAAGTTGACAGATTTTGTTCTTGACAAGAAGCTTGACGCAGTAGGCAAAGTAAAACTTTCTGTCAGGTAAGTGTGCATATCCTTGGCGCTTTTGATGGCGGCTGTTCGACGCAGTACTGCCTGGCTAACTTTCTGTTTTACATGAGAACCAGCAGCGTCCTGTTCGCCTTTGGCATGTGAGGTTTCGAAGAAATTGCGCTGCACTTTGAAGCCAAAGTCTGCAACGCAACAGGACAAATCTCCCAGGCAGTGGCGAGACTTGTACTGGGCTGCACACCCATCGGTAAATTCGTGCATAATTTTAACTTGTTGGCCAAGGTCGTTTGTGATGTAATTGTTCAGAAGTTCCTGTACTTTGTGAACAGAACTGTTGTCTTGAATGACATCATCGGAAATCACAAACACGTGCTCCTTTACAATCTCTGGGTTCTCCTCTGTACTTTCAATACCATCGTTAACTTCTGTAGCATGGCGGTAGAGTATAGTTACATGCAACGACACTTTCGCTACGTCAAAGTATTCAGACTGCGTCTCATCTTGCGACCTACAGGTGTATCCTTCTGAATAGTCATGAATGGCGACTGCATGATCAATAGGTAAATGCTCAAGCAAAGTGTCAAGCTGATCGCGTTGCCACTTGGCCATAAAGGAATGCATTGGATAATCTTTCATGAGGTTCTTGAAGTAGCCAAACATTTCTGATGGTGGTGTTTCTTTTGTTACAAGGGCCAGCTTCTTCTTTTCCTGACCATTTGCCAAAAATTTCCCTGTTGAGACATAATCGTAGCGTCTCCAAATAACTGTACCTTCAATTGATTCTTCCTCTGGAAGGAGTTTCATCAGGTGGACACCACAATGCTCACACTCTCTTTCCAAACAGGCCAGTTTATGGTAAGGATCTTCTTCTGCTTTGGGGCAAAGAGTCAGTTCTGCAGCTTCTGTAATAGTGGCAAGAACATTAACACTCTCATGATCTCTCTCCTTTAAGGCTGCTTTGCGAAATTTCATACAATCTCCAAGGACGATCTTGATCTCTACGTGCTTCCGACAAAGGCAGGACTTTCTATCGCGTTCTTTTGCGGCTTTCACGAAGAAAGGCTTGAGCGATTCAAATTTCCTTTGCTTTATCTTTACGCCAGGATAGAGGGCCTGGAATTCTAGGAATGCTTCTGTCTGAGACTTTTCCAGGATGTGCTTGGCATGTTCTGTATACTGGCTCTTTCCCGTACGATAGCGAACAAAATCCTTTTTGTCTCCTGTTGGACGGCTAGCTTGGGTCGTCCAAAAATCGTAAACATTCCTCTTGACCTCCTCAGGAACAGCATCAAATCTCACTTTCCTTTTAGAAACGAGCCAACTTGGTTCCTCCCCCTTCAAAATTTCCATTCTTCTTTTAATTCCACGTCCAATGCTCTTCCTGTTCAGAGAGACGACTTTTGCTAAAGAACGTTGGGCCCGAGATTTTTTTACGTTTTGTCCAAAAGCCAGGGACTTGAAGGCTCTCAAAGCAGTTCGTTTCTCATTCGAGCCACTCCTTTTAACTTCCTCTAAGCCCTCTTTGATGTCAGCTGCCATTGCTTTTAAAACCTTGCTCTCTTTTTCCTCTTCCGGAGTCGTCATGATTCCTGCTTTGACAAGATGTTTCCTCGTTCTCGGACTTGCACCTATCTTCTTCATTATCTCAGCACGCTTTTCTGGAGTTTCAGGCAATGCTTTTTTAACTTTCTTTACTGCTCTACTTGCCGCCATTCTGTTTCTGAAGCCTGCAACATTATCGTTAGCTTGGCTGCCGGCATCTCTTACCTCTCCTGCGTTAGCGATTTGCTTCTTTTTTTCCCTCAACTTCTTAACCCTCTCTCGTGTTTGTCGTCGCACTTTTTCCATATTTGTTTCCAAGACAGCTTTCTTTTCTTTTTTTTCTTGAAGTTTCTTTGATTTTTTTGCTGCTTGTGCTGTTCGTTGGCGCGTTTGCTGATGATCTGTCTTGTCGGCATGCCGTCTTTCTCTGGCATAAGCAGCTCTTTTCTCACGATTCTTTTCGTTGTACTTTAGGTTCTTCTGTCTGTTTTTTTCTCTCTTTTTTTCTCTCCACTCTTCAATACGTGAAAGCTTGTTTTCTCCTTTACCTTCCATGATGTTTTCGAGAACAAAATACGCCAATTTCACGTGGAGACACGCTGTCTTGTACACACGCGGTATTTACAGATTGCTCAATTCCCAGAAAATTATGGCCCTTAAAAATGCCTTGGAGCCCCCCTAAATAATGATATGAGGAGAGGTTACAGAGCTTTAGTTCGTGAAGAAAGCATGGCGTGTTTACGGAGAGAATTTCGGGTTTCAAGACGGTTGAAGACGCTGAATTTGCCCACACTCTGTTTCGTAAACAAAGTTAAGATGGCGAAAATCGTAGTGACTCAATCCGAAGCTAATATTTTAGCCGTTTTTAAAGCTGTGAGCTCAAAACTATGGAAATAACAAGGTGAACTTGTGAGCATTCCGATCTGCTCAGTTTTGAAAGCCCATTGTACTTTGTTTGGATCAGAAGGTTGAAGGAAAAGGTAAGATGGCAAGAAATATTATTGCGTAACCCCGTTACAATAAACCGTAGCGACTTCTTTAAACTGTATTTTCTCTGTTTGTATTTATTGCTTTTGATCAATTCTTTGCCATGTTAAAACTCAAGGTATGAGCATTTAGTTCGTATGTTTTTATCTTCATAGGTTTCAAGGTTGGCTTGCAATGGACAAGTACTTTCTGAATCTCCATTCTCTAAACAGCAGCGTTACAGGAAGGATATTCAAAACTGATGAATCCTTTGATGTATATCAATAAACTTAAAATGTTGAAACTTTGCTCAATTGTAGTGTTTATTGTGTGTTATTATTAGGTGTAATCCATTTCTCCATGCGAGCTTCCTTTTTTACAAAAAATTGGTTTTGAAAAATTTTACCCTAAGAATTGTGTTACGCGTTACATTCAAATATGGACCCTTTTTCAATCTTTTTTGTTTATTTTCTCAGAAACAGTAATGTGTTTTACCCTTCTATTGCCTTTATAGTAATCACCAAAGACAACTTTAGCTGTGAGCAAAAATCTGGCTTTTTAGTAAATGTTAAACATGAGAAATCAGTGAAAGTTTTTTGACAGCACCAAATGGGCGTGGTGATTGTGCTACTGGTCTTTATTATACACTGTTTTAAAGAAAGTAATGCCAAACGTATTATCGCAGCGAACACAATTTACTTTCGAACACTTAAAAATTAATGTACAACATAAAAAAATTTCAACACTTGGGTTAATTCCTTTTTGTCATGTGGCTCCTGGATATTTTTCTCTTAGAGGTTTTCTCATATTTCACCACTTTTGTCAATCTTTTAGTATTTTCAGAATCTTTATCTTCAAGTAATTTCTCAATTTCTTGCTGGGTCAATGAAGCAAATCGAGAAGCCATTCTTACTTTGCTGTCCATGAACTTAACGTTGCTGAACTGTAAATAATGCTTTACGGGTGCAACCTACAGATTATTCACTAATCTGTAGGTACAGATTAGTGAATAATCTGTCGATTGCGCTGTTTTCCAGAATGAACTGTTGGCGTTTAGCCAATGAGAAGACAGATGGTGACTACAATGTACAATAATCAGTATAATTAGATTGTATTTTCAGTATGATTGGACTGTATTTTCAGTATAATTGTGTACACAGATTTTAATAAACCATACAAAGCATGCATCTTAAAAATACAATTTATGTGTACAAACCAAAAAAACTAACCCATAAGCTCTAAGTGATCAATGAATTGAATGACTTTAATGTTAAGGGAATAACCTTTGTTTCCCTTCAGGAGATTTGTTTGAAAATTTTCTTTTATTTCCCCTTCATCTTGAAAAAAAATTTTGAATTAAAATTTTCTGTTTAGTTGATTATGATTACACACCCAACTTCAACTGCATAGTGATGCTCTGTAAGTTAATGTTCTTTACACGTACATACAGTAACTGAAGATCTGTTGGTCAACCATCAACATACCCAGATACAGGTGTTCCAAGTTCCACATCTTTGCCAAGCACATAATCATAACTTAGATGCACATTCTGATGAAAAAGATTAAATACAAAATACATCAACAAACAACAATGGTATTTAAAAAAAAAAAAGGCTAGTTATTTAAATACCTTCATTTAGGTTAAACCCAAATTGACTTGATCATAAATTATATTGCTGAGTTTAATACTATTAAAAAGTGGGCAGATTATTCCAAGGAGAAACTTATTCCCATCAGAAAACTTCTTTGATGAATTTTTGTCTTTTTCTCTTTACAGGTGTCATATGCATGCATTATTGACTAAGCGTGAGGTCAACACAAGGCTGAATATTGGCTGAGTTCTTTTTTTTTGGCCAATAAAAAACACAGGATTCACTTTGGGTGCTGCCAGTTTTATAATAAAATCATTTATTCCTCAAGATAAGTACTCACACACCAAAAGACCTCTTAACCAAAGACATATCATATGAATGTTATAAGTGAGATTCTTTTTTTTGTTTCCGTTTATGTGCATTTGTCCTACTAGTAGTGATAGTTTTGATGTAGGTAAAGACTGATTGAAGTAACTTCTTATTTTGGGGTCTGATCTAATCCTGTATATGAACCCTAGAGTTACATGCTATCAATCTACAACAGAGGTAAGACAGGATTGATACTCATGTACACCTATGAGTTAATCAATCAGTGTTGTATGTTTATATGTCATGTTATTAAATAATGTCGTAATGTGCATGGTAATTAAATGATAAATTTACTGCATTACATATTACCTTCCCATTTAGCACAGTTCATCATGTTTACCATTTAGTTTACTACCTACAAGGCAAATTAATGTTTCTTTTTCTTTTTAATCAGTGTAGAAGGAGAAAAAATTAAATGAGCCGGCAAAAATTACATAGTTGTCTTTTAGTTCAGGATGACTGCCATCAACTCCATCATCAACAACTGCTACTATAATTCCTTTTCCTGTGTATCCTGCTTTCCAAACAGGAACAACATTGAAGGTTGGCTCTTGGGATCCCTCAGGTCTATCCTATAAGCCAAGAGATAAAATGGAAAGGCAAGCCTAATACGAATTAAGTAGGAAGATATTCAACATTATTATAAGTTAGACTTACTATGAAAACTCTCTTACATACAGTTGCGTGTGAAGTTGACAGGATAACCCAATATCTACAACGTATATCATGTTGAGTTCAAAGTCTGCCTAGTTTCCAAGCCCCTTGTCCATAAAGCACTCTCAAACTTTTCAAAACTTAGATAGAAGTGCCTTCATTTGCAGATTGTTTAAAAATGTACAGTAAAACAATAACTGAATTCCGTTTTCTCATGATATCACAAAATTATCAAATCTTGCTTCTTCTGTGATAACTCAGACTTGGGTTTTGATAATTCATGATATCATACTCAAACTCATCCAAAAAAGAAATTGCTCATTATCATTCCATACATCACTCTGTGAACACTCAAGTTGTCATGGTGTGTAGAAAAAAACTTTTGGCACCATGCATGTTTGCAGAGAAGATAGCTATTACACAACTTTGCTAATACTGTGTCCAAATGAATGCTGGGATTCGCCAACCCAGTATCAGGTCTCTAAGGGAGCTAGTTGTTTGTGCTACTTCAACCCTTGTTGTTGTTGTTGTTTTGTGACCTAACAAGCCAAAACAAGCTTCACAAATGCTTATTAAGTTGTACTTTTGCAAACCTTCTCTCTTTTTATGATGGGCTGAGACCGTTGACCTGTATACGAATGTGAAAATGACCGTAGAAATCCCGCAAGGTACAAAGTTTTAAGGAAAATCTTTCATTACCAATTTGTAGTACAACAAATTTTTTTTAAGTAAGTTCTTGCAGAAGTCCATTTCATTCCATTCTGATCAAGGTAGACCATTTGGAGCTCAAATGAAAATTAAATACAGTATGCTGAGGAATAATCATTTTAGAAAATATAAGAAATTTAACATTTAAAAGTGACAATTAGCTCTGGAGTAACAGAATACACAACCCTCAAAGGGAGTACGGACTTTATGGTTGGAAATGAAAACAGAACTCGATAACTTAAAGCGAGGCTTTGCAACATTTGGGCTACATATATCATTAATTTTGGACCAGTAAACATAATATAAATATTACAAACAATGATTTTGTCTTAATTTGATTAAATTATTTGATTTTCAGTATTTTCAAGACAATGCATCATGATTTATGGCTGTGAAGTCATGTAAACAATGATTCTAGCATGGTGAATCTACTGCACTGGGTTGGCGTTAGTTGGTCAATCTTTCCGACCCCAGGTCTTCATTATCGCTAAGACAAAGAGAGAATTGAAGACACAACAGTACCAGTACTAATACTAGGGACTTTAAGAAACCACGACGGCAACGCCAAGGAAGACTTTGATTAAAAAATGAATTTCTACTCTTAGTTAGAATTTCAAAAATGGCTGCAGGAGCTTACTGTCTCATACAGCGCCACAGCTCAACTTCAGCATGACGTAAAAAGTAGCCGTTGAGTTCCATATGGAAATTAAAATAATTTGCTGTCGTGGTTTCGGTTCGCAGACGACGCAAATTTTGGCGATTTCACGTTGTTGTTTTGCATAGGACGGCTAAGAAATGTACAAAGTTTCAAAATGCATGTGCTGAGCTATTGTTCTGCCAATTAGATCTCTTTTTTTCCCACGTCCTCGTTGCCGTCGCCGTCGTGGTTTCTTAAGGTCCCTACTGATGGTATAACTGCTTCTAAATAAATTTAAAATTTAAATTTAATTTTAAATTTAAATTTAATTTTAAATTTGAGAGAAAGAAGTGATTTTCACTTCTTTCTCTCAAATTTGAAGATGTCATGTAAAAGCTACAAGTTGCATTTCAAAGGGAAGCAGAGTTGTCAGCAATATAGTATGTTACTGTTGAGTGTAATCTTGCACTAAAGGTCATTATCTTTTTTCTCTGACCAAAAACCTACTTCAGGCAATTCTTTTATGATTTTATGGTAAATAGCAACTTAGAAATGTAAGTTGAACTTAGGGCTGGCTATCAACAGTGTCATTATCATAGTCATCATTGCTATCACAAAATACAAACACCAATAAAAATCATCAATAACAGTGACTTACAATGTACCAAAGTACTCCCCGGTGTTCATTTGAAAACAGTTTATACTTTTTCACCTTTTGATGCATGAACCATTCAACCTGAACATAGAGGGGAAAAATCATTAATATCGTAATGTGATTTTATTGAGACAAAAATTTTCCATTGCAAATTAACAATTTTTTTAAAATAAGGATAGCACAAAGTCTGATGTACAAAAATGAACAATCTTTTAGTTGAAGTACATCTCCATTTCTCCATCAGAAGGAAACAGCTTGACAAGTATGATGTAAACAAATGTACCTTTTCCTCAGAAAGCAACTTGCTATCAATCTCCAATGAGGACTTTGTCTTTTGAGGACTTTTCAGCAAATCAGGTCGTTTTAAGGTATGATAATCCTCAAATAGCTGAAAAAATTTGCAGAAAACTGTATCACCTTTATTTCAAAGTAATAATTTTCCTCTGGAAGCATACTGTCAGTAATAATGGACAAAATTCTATGATGAAATATTAGTAGATGTTTTTGATAGTTCATTCATTTAATTTAGTTCTTTGGTAATTGTAATAATTGTAGCTATGGCCATTTTTATTGACATGATAGTATTTAACTTTCATTAGTCTGCACACAGTCTGCATAGGTGCTTCTTGGCAAGGGTGACAAAAATGATCTTCCTATTATGTGACCAAATTTGGTTGACAGTAACCTTAATTGTGTCATTGACAAGTGGTTTCGACTGCACCTTCCTTACTTTTTTAATCTTTATCAAACATGCATGACTCTAAAGTTCAAATGATTTTCTCAACACCCATTGTAACTGGTGAAAATGAGTCTCATTGAAACGTTTCTTACAGATACACAGAATAAAAATTTCAACATAAAAAAGGATGCTATTTACTGTCAGAAGTACTCTGGCATGTAGTGGACAACTAAAATCACCCAAAAAGGCATATGGCCTGATTGACAACACGTAGTCCACTACTGATACTGTGAGTCTGAGTGAGGAATTTCTTGTCACTGAAAATCATATTTGCTCTCATGTCCTATCAAGCTTCTTATAGACATGTTCTTTAAACTACCGGTAAGCTAAGGTCATTTAACAACATTACCTTTCTTCCGAAAATGTGCTAATGAAGTCTCGCAGTTGTGTACTTACGACTGAGAAAAACATTTGTAAATTTGGGTGTCTCTACTATATTGGCAAAAGCTGAAATCATGCCCTGGTAACCAACAATTTTATAAATTTTTCTAGAAACTTAAGTGCACCGGCAAAAATATTCCCCTTTAGAGACAATTACAGCCGTGCACGAATGAGACAAGCAGAAATTCATGCCCGAAATAAATTCAACTGATAGTATCTACGGGGCCACGAATCTATTCTCATGAAATTTCTACCTTTTCAATAAAATCAAGCTAACTTTCGCTCCTGATATCGAGTGAAATGTTAACAAAACGACGCAACACCTACATGTCTGTCGTAGACGAGATTATTTTTGGAGGCAAACCGCTCGACTTCTTCCCGGTTACCACGAAATTTTACGGACCACACATTGGTATAACTCTCACTGGCTAAAGCATCAGTTAAACAGAAGAATATTATAAAAAGAGTTCGAATCGAAAATCCAGCCATTTACACCGATACGTCGTCGTCGAACTGTTGAAAACAACTGAAAACAAAGCGATCTGTACGTGATTAATGTCAAGGGTCAGCATTAGATGAATCCTCGGAGACCCAGGGCTGTGGGTCAATTTCATGTTAGGGCATGCACAGGCAGCCCAAGCTCACTACTTGAAAAGCGGACGTGACTCTTACCGTGTTGCGCAACGTTTTATATTTAGAGTTCAATTTTAATGCGCTATATAAGAACTTATTATTATTCAAATTTATAAAGGTTTGTATGGGATGTTATCGGTTTACCTTAAAAGAGAGGAAAAAATGTCTTGTTTTGAAATAAAATGGACTTAACCTGTTGCCTTGTTGTTTTCTTTGTTGATTCCTGGCGTCTCAGGCCATTTTGAAGCGTTTTCGGCGAGTTCTGTGTGTCTGTGCACAGGCAGCCCGAGCTCACTACTAGAAAAGCGGACGTGACTCTTACCGTGTTGCGCAACGTTTTATATTTATAAAGGTTTGTATGGGATGTTATCGGTTTGCCTTAAAAAGGAGAAAATAATGTCTTGTTTTGAAATAAAATGGACTTACCTTATTGCCTTGTTGTTTTCTTTGTTGATTCCTAGCGTCTCAGGCCATTTTGAAGCGTTTTCGGCGAGTTAGCGCTATGTTGGTGTTCAACTGTTAAAACACCAACATAGCGCTAACTGTGCATGGGGCATAACTCTATCTGTGCCACAGGCAGCCCAAGCTCACTACGAGAAAAGCGGACGTGACTCTTACCGTGTTGCGTAACGTTATATATTTATAAAGGTTTGTATGGGATGTTATCGGTTTGCCTTAAAAGAGAGAAAAAAATGTCTTGTTTTGAAATAAAATGGACTTACCTTATTGCCTTGTTGTTTTCTTTGTTGATTCCTAGCGTCTCAGGCCATTTTGAAGCGTTTTCGGCGAGTTAGCGCTATGTTGGTGTTCAACTGCTAAAAGAAAGACAAGGCCGGAAACCTATTTTAGAAGTGTCCGTCGCCCGAAGCGAATAATTCCGCCAAAAAATTACCACCAGTCTCGATTCCTCCAGAAAATCAAAGCAGAGATGTTGCAGTT